TGGGATAATAAAAGGAGGCATTAAGAGTCATGGTTTATATTCTTATAATATTACTATGGGATTCAAGCACTTTGTTTTAACTCACTGTACATGTGAAAAGGCACTTTTTATACTTTTATGACCACATTGCTTAAATGGATTACAGGGGTCACATCTGATGAGTATTTACCATGTGTCAAGCTTTGTAATTATGTCCTTTACAAATGTCACCATATTTAATTTCCATAATTGCTTTACTTTCACAAGAGGAAAAGCGTGTTTAGAGAGGTTCAGTAATTTGTCCACAGCAGAGCTCAAGATCAGTGGTCCTATGAATACCATTCTGCTTCGTGGTGTTTTCTCATTTGAGGAGTGCTTAAAATGTATGTAATTCAGACAGTCATACAGCAAACATAGCAAGCCAGATGTGTATTGAATTGTACTGTCGATAAAACGGTTTCACATATGTTAAAGGCATTTGATGTTTACCGAAAACACCACACAAGGTATACCAGTTACTATTTATATCTTTGTTTGCAGAGAAGGAAAGCTTAACGCAATGGTGTGGATTCCTGCAATTTACACAGCTATCAAGTTACTGATTTCTTTCCACCCTATTAGGTGGTGTAACAAGCAAACATCCAGTTCCAGACTCAAAAGAAAAGAAATGTACAAGGAAAGAGCACTGGGATTTGAGTCAGTCTTTTGCAGTGGGTCACTGCATCAATCACTGACCCTTACTATGCCAACCTGTCACTCCATCAGGCATTAGACACTTACCCGGAGAACACACAGAATGGGATCTACCTAACAGAAAACCAGAAAGATAATGTATACAGAAAGATTCAAGTATGAGACAGTATTTGTTCCAGGGTAATGATTCTAACGCTATTAGAATCAGTTGAAATATACTCACTCCCAAAAAAACTTAGCCCTAAATAGCCTTGCAGATTATAAAGTACAAGGTGCCTGTCCGTTTCTTGTCCCTGAGACACAATATCTAAGACATAAAATTTAAAGGAGGAGGGATTTATTTTGGCTCATGTTTTCAGTGCAAAACACACTGGCTCCAAGGCAGGATGGCATGGCAGAGGGCCCGGTGGAGGGAAAGCTCCGCAGGTCCTGGCAGGCTGGAAGCAGGGCAGGGAGGAGCTGGAGAGAGATTTACCCTTGCAGCTCATGCCCCAGGGGCAGCCTTTCGACCAGGCCCCACCTCCTAACAGTAAGGCAGCTGTCAGCCTCCATAATTCAATCACCTTCCAAAAGCCCCAACTCTGAGTGCAGCATGCTCTCGATGGACATCTAGATACGAGTCATAACACAGGGAATTCACAGATGTGTTTAGCAGACGGTTTGGACTCTTTGTCCCCTTGGCCAAACGTTAGAGCCCTTGGCACGTTCTGTTGCTGATTTTCTAGACTCTGTGGCAGAAGAGAGGCTTTCAGGAAGCTGTGCCATCTGATGCTCACAGCACCTCGTGTGAGGAATGGGAGCAAGGAAGGCTCCACTGCCACACAGACAGGACATCCCAGGTCCAGTGGAGTTGACTGCCAGCCAGGCGACTAGGGGACAGAGTCAAGCCCCTATTCTCCTATTTCAACTCTTTTCATTATGCATCTGCTGCCAGTGAACATACTGCACTCTTATGACGTGGACAAAAGGAATTCACTCACATTACTGGTTGATTCCGAAAATATCACAATGGCAATAACCACAAAAACAGTACTAGACCACAATTTCTGAGCATTTAATGTGTGACCACTCACTGTTTTAAGCATCATATTTGTATTAAAATATTTGTTACCCACAATCAACATGAGAGTAGGTAGCATTTTAAATTTTCTACCACTGAGCTACTTTCTCAGTCCAGGAATCTAGCTTGATGGGCCTATGTTGATGAGGAATAGCGAAAAATTAAAATCTTACACAAGTAGATTCTCATTAGAGAGAAATATATATTTGCATACTCTTACCCACGTAGTCAGTAGAATATTGGAATATGCCTAGCTCTCATTTTCATAGGCAAGATTTCTCTGTTTTTCAACTGAGAAAACTGCTGTTCAAAGAAATTAACTTTGCCAACATCACATCACTATAAAATGGCAAAAACCAAACAGCCTATAGAATCTATACAATCAACCACTGCACTCTACTATTCCCATAGCTTTGTTCTTTCACCCAAGGAAAGGTAAAAGAAGAACTAGCCAAATCAGCAACTCCCATTTTTTCCTATTTTCTTGCGTATCTATAACTGCTCAGTATGTGATTGAGCATAGATTGCAAAAGAGCAATATTTTAATCAGACCCAGGGCTCTTAGGGTTATGGGCTGCTTCTGAACTAGACACACATAGTTCAAATGTTAGCATCTGAGTACAAGCAGGAGACTATAAAATGTATTTTGCTTAATTTGATGAAAATCTTAAAATCTTCCAGGATTTTTGAGAACAGAAATTAATTATCACTTTAGTTTTTCATGATTTCTCAAATGGTTTGGTACATTTAAGAGATTTTCTAGAGTGGGGTTGCAGCTCAGTGGTAGAGCAATGCTCTAACGTGCATGAGTTCCTGGGTTTCATCTTTAGCACCCCACAGAAATAATACACACACACACACACACACACACACACACACACACAGAGTTTTTGATATAGAATGTTCAGCTGAGTGCCCAAAGTAGTTTCTTCCAGCCATGTAAAAGTCTCAACTAAGCACACTCTGTTTTTATATTAAACAATTTGAGTCTACAAGAATAACATTACAGCTCCATCTAGTCTTCATAAATCTTTCTTAGAAATTAAAGTTTTATTTAATTCCATATACTTTGAATATATAGATGATTAGTTGCTTTAACTTAATGCTTTAAATCATTGTAACATCAATAGGAAGCATCATCCTCATTCACTTTTAATTTTCATTTACATATAAATGTATCAACTCTATAAGTAAAGGTATATATATAATATATACATATATAAGACTATATTTTGTTATAACTCTCGTGGCAAGGTAAGCATTTAAAGAATTTGATGCAGAAGAACAACAAAATTTATGACAGAAGGTATGATTGTTGTGCATCTATGCAATAGTAGAACCAGAGGCTTCATGCAGAAATGAGATTGGGCTCTGAACTGTACAGATTAAAGAAATAGAAATTGAAATCAAATCATTGTATAAAGAATTGTTGAAATGAAAGAACAATTTGCTCCACACAATGATCCATAATTGAAGTCCGGATTCCATTACAAGAAAAAAGGAAGCATAACTTTAACCAGAGTTTTGAAAAATGCAAGCACAGGAGTGGGAATACCTCACAATATACTCTTTTGTGTCCCTAATCTAGGATTTATTATTATCATACTGACTGGAAAATCCTTAGAAACAATGGTCATAACACTCTTGATACTTAATTTACCCAACTGATTTAGTATTTGTTGAAAATGTGAGTCTTTTTGAGCTGACATTTCTGAAACCTGCATATTGCCTTGTTTTTATTTGTTCTTCATTCATTAGAGTGATCTTCTAATAGTGTTGACTTTAGGACTGCCTGATCCATAGCCTCCTTTTTCTCTAATCTATTCTCAGTTTAGGACACACAGAAAAGAAAGCTTGTCTCACAAGAACGCAGCATGATCTACGATACGAATCCTTATGATCTTAGTTCTATGCTCTTGGTCAGCAGTGTTGGCAACGGGCAGGGCACGTGTAGAAGCATGGCTAGCAGGAGCCCTACTGTCCCTGCAGGCCCCAGTTTTTGTTTGTGGTACCGTGCAGGCCAAATGAAAGTCAGCAATGATTTGTTGAGCAGAAACGGATTTAAATTCAGTTAATACAAGACAGAAAACACAGCAGTGTAAACTATTTGGCAAGGTAAACATGTGTTGGGGAAAAGGGGAGTAACAGTAACTTAGGAGTCCTGGGGGAAGGCAGGGGGAGGGCAGGAGTCTGAGCTGGAGAGGAAGACGCAGAGCGCAAGAGCGAGAAAGGGGGAGAGAAACCAGCAGGAGCTCAGGTGGCCCAGGAGCTTTCCCCACTGTCCATCCGCCGTCTCCGTAGCGCCAGCACCGGGTGGAGGACGCCAGCGCATATTGGAGGCCGAGGCAGCACAGCGGCACTGCTGTATGAGGGAGCGCAGGTCTTTTTCACGCGTTAGAAATGACCACATCTCCGCAGAATCAGGATGCAGAGGCCGGGACACGCGGGTCCCGCCGGCTGACCCCAACGCCGATCAGTAGGATGTGCGCTCTTCCAGTGCAACTGGAGACTCGCTCCGTGACCCTTCGGAAACGGGGGTGTTTCTGCTCAGGCCACTTTTGTTCACCCAACAGCGGACATTCCTTATCCCTGTGTTTGTGGGGAGCTTGGACCAGCCGCCCGCTCCTTTCTCCCTGGGCACCTTCCTGCAGCCCGAGCTTCTGCCCGGCCGCCCCGCCCGCGGTCCCGGCTGAGAAGCAGCAGCCGCGTCCGGGTGTCCGGGCTGCACACTGCGGCGCGGCTCCGGAGGTGCAGGCCCGGCGGACGCGCCCGGGGCGGGTGCTGGCGGTCGCGGTGCCCCGGCCGCGCAGGGGCCGAGATGGAGCTGGCTGGGTCTTGGCTTCAGCTCCGCGGACGGGCGCGGCCAGGCCCGGCGGGCACGGTGCGGTGGGTGAGAGGCGCTGGCCGCGGTGGGGACCCCGGGTCGCAAGTGCGCACGCGGGACCACTCACGCGCAGCAACGCACTTGCACTCACACTCGCGCGCGCACACTCAACGCGCAGTCACGCACTCGCACACCCACGCACCGCTCCAGGGGTCGCTGCTCCGGAGCGGACCTCTCGGCGCGCGTGCAGCGCGGGCAGCTGCCCCTGCAGGACTGGCCGAGGATCCCCGGGCCCGTCCCACCCTCGCGGCCTCGAACGACCGCCTGGTCCCCAGGCCCCGGGCGGGCGGGCGGGCGGGCCAACTCCCGATCCTCTCCTCTGCCTCTGATTGGCTCCGAGCGGGACCGCCGCGCCCGCCCCCTGCGGCTCGCGCGGCCATTGGCCGGGCGAGGTGCCCATCAGGGCGGGCCGCGCCGGGAGCGGGCCGAGCGGGCGTCGCCGCTGCAGGCTGCGTGGTTGCTGAGCCGCGGGACGCTGCGGGCCGGCGGCATGGTGAGTGCGGCGGGGCCGGGCCGGGGGCGGGGGGCGCGGGGCGGGGCTGGACAGCGGCTGACGCTCGCTCCCCGCAGTACGGCTTCGTGAACCACGCGCTGGAGCTGCTGGTGATCCGCAACTATGGCCCCGAGGCGTGGGAGGACATCAAGTAAGTGGCCGCGGGTTGGGCCCGGGGGGACTGGGCAGGGGCGGGCCGGGCGGCTCCGAGGGCGCCTGCGGCTCCCCGAGCGCGGCCGCTGTTGGCAAGGGGGGCCGGGGCCCGGGGCCCGGTCACCGCCGCGCTGTTCCCATGGAAACCGGGGGCATCCTCTTCCGGCGGGCGCCGCGTCTCTGCTACCCACGGTCTCCGCCGTACGTCACGCGGAGCTCTCGGTGCCTGGCAGTGGGACGTTTATCCGAGAGAGCGTGGGCCTTGGCGATTACCGTGAGATTTGGGTCTTTTCAGGCTTAGTAACCTCTTGATTTTTAGCTTGGTAGGCAGGAATGGAAAAGGCACGCCCCAAGAATGTGGTTCTAAACAGTGTCATTGAAGTCCAGGATTATTTTTAAGCCTCTTCCTTTGTGAATTTATGGAACCAACATACGTAGAGGGCTCCATCCTCATTGGATGTTTTCTTTTCTTTAAAAATAGAAATTCCCAAGTCCCCTGGTGGATAGCAATGACAACTGCAATGTTTAGAATTTAAAGCGCACAGTAGAAGTGGCCACTAAAAGTCATTATGTAGTTTAACCAGGTTTAGAATATATGTCCTACCCATTACCAGTTTAGATAATCAGTAAATACAGAGATGAAAAATATGCTTCACATATATGTCAGACAAAATTTTAAAAAATAATTCATCAAGACATTAGTTTATATTGGCCATATGTTCCTAGAGGAGACCAAAAGCTAAAAATGCACAAGTTTCATTCATAACTGCCAGGTCATCCAAAGAATATTTTCACATTCTACTTAAACAGTTACTTATTAATTTTTAATCAAAGCCCCAGTACCTTGAAATTCCAACTAATCGTTATCTTTGAACACGGTTCTTAAGCTGTAAGCTGTTCGAGTGATAACAACTCCCATCATGAAAAAAAAATTTTTATAAAAATAAGTCATATGAGTATTTTAAAAGTAAATTTACAGCAAGGATTATGCTCTTGCAAGGAAAATACTGTTGGTTAAACTAGTGTTGGCACTAATGCAGGTGCTAGGTTTTTTTTCTTTTTTGAGTGCAGCATTACTTTGGGGGATTCCAACTGGCTTAGGTGCAGGTTAGCATCGGAGATGGGGAACGAGGTTCAGGTTGCTGCATTAACGGGGTTCCGAGCCCAACCCTGGAGGGGTGATAAACTTTCCCAGGTGACCCTGTGCTCCCCACAGCGCAGACGCATGGTGGGGCGTCGTGAAGGAGAGGCGCAGGGTTCAATCGGAAAATGCTGCTGAGTGGCTCTGATTCCTCCTGGCCGTGCTGCCTTCCACTCCAGGGTAGCTCAAAGTAGCATTGCTTCCAGATACTTTCGATTTGAACTCTTATGAGAAACTGAATACACGAGAAAATATTTTTCTTGTCTCAATAAGTACGAGGCACCTTTATCTTCTTTTTATTTTCATCTGAAAAATCATCGAAATGGATGTTTGTAAAATTTTTTTATAATACTTTTCTGGTTTAGTAGGAAATGGCCATCATTCCTGCATGAGACAGGGTGCCAAACATTTAATGACAAATAAAATCTAAAGTAACAGATTCCAGACAGAAAATTCTTAATGGTTAAGAGCCAAAAATGCTTCGTTGTAAACTCGGTATCTACTTATACTCTTACCAACATATAACCATTCACAACTGCTTTAAAATCCTCTTTTTAAGAAAAGCCAAAACTGTCTGCAGGCAGAGCTAGTGAACTTGCTCTTAGCAGGCCAGACAGCAAGCGTTTGTAGGTGCTGGGGACTAAGTCAGAATCGAGGCCTTATACACGGTCCGTGCAGCCACTGAAATGCAACTGCCTAATATGACCAGAAGGAACAAACATGCAGAACGGCAGGCTAGGCTCGTCCCACTGGCTGGTTGCCCACCTCTGATCTGTACAATAAGAGATGTGAAAAAGTGAAAGAAACTTTTAAATCTATTTACATCTTATTTTGCAGATTTCCTTTTAATTTTTAGATGGTCCTTTTAAAAAGCCATGGTTTCTACATGATAAGAAAAATCAACCATCAATTTTTAAAAAAGGAAAGTTAGGACTTATGTAAATTTAAAAAAATCATCCAAGTGCTTGGTTAATCATGTCTGCTATCTTTGCACCAGCCCCAGCTAAACTAATCATTGGATCAAATTACTGATTTTAATTTTAGTCTTTTTTAACTTCCCTGGAATATGTTTCCAAGTCTAAAAATGGACTCAAAAACTTAAAAAAACTACTAGGATCAAAAAGTAGTAAAAACAAGGACTGAGATTTAGTCTCAGCATGTGAAAGGTCCTGAGCTTAATCCTCACCAATGCAAAACAAACAAACAAAACAAAACACAAAAAACTTGAATTGAACAACCAAAACTGAAAACTAATCATTTGCCAACAATTGAATAGACCCCGGAAGGTCTTTTCGAGTCTAAAGTGCTGCAGAGTGTTGATTAGCTGCCTTCTCTTTTACTAGACGATTGGAGGTAAATGGATCAAAAATTTGGCACGTGAGACATAAATTTGATAGTGATGTGATTATTGTGTTGATAAATACTGCAGTTTGTGGTGCTGCAGAAGGCTGATAATCATTTTCCCTTTTGTAAAAAATACACATTTGCTTACTACAGGTTTATCTGTAGGTTTACCTACAGCAGCCCGTACTTTTTCATTCACGAGTTTATTCTTTTCATTTGCTGTTGAGCTTATCTTTAATGGGCACAGTGTAGTGTTGGAGCACCAGCCTTACAAAAGCAAATGATGTAATCATTGGCTTTAGAATGTCTAGAGATATCAGAACAGTTTTTGTCTTACTCATTTTTTTAACTTTCTTGTCTGTAACTCGAATATGGAAACATTCTGACTGTTAGAAAGCATATATTGATCTTCCAGTTTTGAAATTAATATGTCAAGTTGAATTTGATAATCATGAATTAAACATTGTGGTTAAAATATACAAACACTACTATATACTGGTTATGTGTCTTTTAGGTTGCCTAACTTTCCAAATCTCACCCGCTTAAGGAAAACTGATAGTACCTACTTTATGGGTTTGTTACACTACATGGAACAATGTTGACAAAATGTTTAATGCCGTCCTTAAATAGCTGCTCAGCATAGCTGGGATTTTTCATTTTACTTTAGAATCAGAGGTTTTCAGCTTTTCTCTTTCCCATATCTTTTCTTGGAAAGACACGCAGCTGCCCTTGAATAACAGCAGCCTGAGGCTGGGGGTGTAGCTCTGAGGTAACATGCTGGCCTGGCTTGCCCGAGGCCCAGGGTTCCATTCCCAGTACTAAAAAAGAAAGTAGTCCTTTGCGATCCACATAGCATATCAGTCTAAATGTCTTTGTCACTCTGTCCCTCTAGAATTAGTAATAACTTCATTGTTGTTTGCCGTTATTCATTCTCCTTTATACATTCTGTGCAACTAGTGCCAGTACTTCATTTTTTTAATAATGGCTTTATTGGACTAAAATTTGCCTGTTTACAATTTACAAACTTAAAGTGTTTAAGATTCAGTAGATTTTAGCACATTGCCTACGTTACACCACCATGACCACAGTCAAATTTAAATCATTTTTGTTATCCCAAAACGAACCACCACCCACTCACTGCCATGTCCCCTTGAAGCGCCTCTAGGCCCATCCACTCCTTCCCTTCTGGGTCCTGTTGCTGTCCCTGTGCTGCTCTGACCATCCCCTGTCCAGCTGTGCTGTGTCTGACTTGTCTGCTACTTGTCCTGCCGACTGTGGGAGAAGCATTATTGCCACTGTGCTGAGGTTCTGTGCATGGCATCAGTCCTACATTATGCTTTCATACCACTTCTTGCCCTCAATTTGTATTTATTGTTAAAAATTCCATGCATGCTCTTAATATTCACTTTATTAAAACAAGTTAAGCAGATAGTGCATGTTTTCCTTGTTTATTTTTGAAGGTGGAAGTTCATGTACATTCCCATACTGTTCTCAGAAATAAGCCTGCCTGTGTCAACAGCACTTCATAATATAAAACTGCCTGAGAGTTTGGCAGTCCTTTCCTTGTCGTAATCTCAGTTGAGTGTTAGGCGTTTGAACTACAAGAGGACTTTTTAGCTCAGTTTTTACTTTATAAGATGTTACCTGCAGAATCCCATGTAGGGAGCTGAAGAGCCGGAGCCTCGGCTCTGGCCTCCTGGTGCCCTGCTTAGTACTCGCAGAATCCGCGTGGGTGGGTGGAGCTCGGTGGAGCACTTGCCTGGCACAGGTGAGGCCCTGCATGCAGCCCCCAGTGTATCACAAGGTAAATAATGAAATAGAATCTAGTGTAGTGTGTGTTAAAAATGGAAACTATTTTGATTTTCATGCCCAGAAACTACCCAGAATTAATAAACAAATTAATATGGTAACGGTTAGGGTCAGGACTTTTTCCACAGAATGATCCTCTCATTAGCTTGAAAGGCAGAGGGAGGAACATTTTGTTCGCTGATAAACTCACTAAGATTTGAAATAATTTGGGGGACCTGGATGTCCACATATGAAGCCCTCAGCTGCCTGCTAGTGAGCCCGAGTTTCGGAAGGACCTGGCCCCGGGTGAGAAGGCGGATCCTGGCTTCGCATCAGGTGTTTCTGTTGTGTTTATTGGTTTGCTTTTTATGATCTGAAGCACACCCTCCAAATCAAGGTAGGAATTAAGGTTCTTTATTTCCTTGCATTCTGCGATTTTGAGAATTAGAAAAATAGAGAAGCATATTGTTGAATTGATGTGTCAGAGAAGTCTTCACACGGCCGGTGAGCGCCCAGAGAGAAGTCAAAGTCTGAGCCCCAGACCCTCCCTGGACACTGCTGCTGTCCTTGAGGAGAGTGTCCTGCTGAAGTCCCTTTCTCCAGAGCGAGGGGCCTGGCAGTGTTTCTCCTTCCTGTGTGAGAAAGTGCAGTGAGGGCTTGATGCTGGGCAGACACCAGCACGAAACACTCGTGGAAACGAGCAATACGAAACGTACCCGGCAGGA